CAGCTCCAAGATTGTCCAGCCACAGGGCACACATGTAATCCTTGCCCTATGGGCTGACCTAGACCTGGACGGTATAATTCCAGCATCCCCACCATCCCTCCTATAACAGTAACAGTATTTCCTCAACACAATTGCAAAATGCCAGCTGTGGCCCAGACCTGCAGCCCAGCTACTCAGGAAGCTGAGACGGGACATTACAACTTCAGGCCCACCTTGACTTCAAAGCCAAAGTAACTTGATGAGACCCTTCTCAAAATAAAATGTAAAGTGAAGGCTGAGGGTATAGCACAGTGATATATCACTGGCCAAGCACACATATGACCCTGGGTTCACTCCCCACTACCCCACCCCCAAATTTTAAAACACCTCCAGGGAACTTCTTGGCCTTCGCAGAGAAGCACTGATTGAGAGGCACAAGATCACAGAAGCCGAACCCTTTTGTTTGTTTGTTTTGTTTTTTTTGAGACAAGGTTTCTCTGTGTAGCCTTGGCTGTCCTGGAACTCATTCTGTAGACCAGGCTGACCTTGAACTCAGAGAGCTGCATGCCTGCCTCTACCTTCCCAGTGCTGGGATAAAAGGGATGCGTTGCCACAGCCCGTCTAAGCCAAACTCTTAAAGGGACATGAAGGAGCCTAGAGCAGCCTACCATGCCTGAGAAGGAGAGAAAGATGGGAGATGAGGTCTGAGTGCTTGGAGGGCCTGTGCCAGCTTGTCCCCATAGAACAACACTGAGAGTTAACAGGGAGCCACCTCTGGATTGTAAGTAGAGGCGTGGCATGGTCTTCACAGTGGATGGCAGATCATTTCGTGCATAAACAGGAGAAAGGAGCCCAAGGCATGACAGAGGCGAGGTTCCTTTACTGACTCAAGCCTGGGGAAAGCAGAGGTGCCCAGTCGCCTGCCTGACAAGGGGAACTGCAGGTTTTATTGATTTTCTGGAGGGGAGCAGGTTAAAGTCTGGCAATTGTCCACTCATCGTTCATGTTCTTTTAGGGCTGGGAATGTGGCTCCACTGGTAGACCACTTACCTAGCATGCGTGAAACTCTGGACGTGAGCTCCAGAACTACACAGACAGGGCACAATAGCATATGCCTGTGATCCCAGCATTGGGGAGGAAGGGGCAAGAGGGTCAGAAGTTCAAGGCCAACTGAGCTACATGAGACCCTGTCTCAAGGATAAAGGAAGATGTTCTTGGCTTGGTGCTTGGTGGGCTCAGGTCCCAGGAAGTGCTCTGTTGCTCTCCTGGCTATCATGGTCCAGCTATGGTTGAGTTTGGGCCTTACAGCAGGGCTGAAGGACTAGGGGCGTTGTTTTTGTCAAGGGTGAAACAAAAGAAACATATATTGGCTCAGTGGACACTAGGTCAAGTCTGCTCTGGATTGTTGTCTTGGATAAACATTTCCCAACTGAAGCGTGATCCTAATTAGTCTTATCAATACAAACCAGGAGTCAAATATTGGAGGAATAACCTGAAAGATCAGGGAAGCAAATGAGCAGCCACTAGTGACTTCTTACCTCTCCAGGTCCTCAGACTGAAATGGGCTGAGATCCTGTCTCCACCTGCCTTATATTCCCATCTTCACCTCTGAGTTCTGGGATCAAAGGCATGAGCCTCCCAAGTGCTGGGATCAAAGGTGTGAGTCACCACCACCTGGCCTCTATGGTTAACTAGTGGCTAGCTCTACCCTCTGATCTCTAGGCAAGCTTTATTTATCAGAACACAAACAAAATATCACACAACATCCCACCTATCAGCTGAGCAGAGAGTCTGGCTCAATGGTTGAGATAGTTTACAGGGGCAGATATGGTGAGAAGATGGAGTTTGTTCACAGCTTTGTTCCTTCTCAGATGCTCATCAGGTCCTGCAGCTCTAGTGAGGAGTCACCAATGTAGCAAAAGTGGCCTTTGAGTGTCTGCAGAAGTAACGAGGCAACTGTTATCCACTTACAATGTATTGCTTACTCTCTGAACTCCCAAATTAATGTCATTTAGGTCAACTGACAGGTGGCTTTGCCTTGAGAGCTGTCTGTGTGCTTCCTTGACTGATCTGGGGGCTTCAAAGGGCATTATATGGAACAAGGTTCCCCCTTGGTAACAGTCCCCGCTTGTCTCTGCTTGTTGTTTGCACAGCCAGCTTGGCTTAGTGCTGGGGGATCCTGCTTTGTAAGTGGCCCGTGAGCCTCCCCTGTCTTGTCAAAGCTGTTGAAAGCATCCTTTCAGCAGTCAGCAGTTAAGGGAGTTGGACTTGTTTGCCTTTTGTTCCCCTGCAGCGAGCCCTAAATGTCTCAGTCTGACCTCCCTACAGGATCTGCAGTTCAAAATATCACTTGGTGGGGTGGGGATTCAGCTCAGTGGTTCCGGAAAATTAAAACACACACACACACACACACACACACACACACACACACACACACACGCACAATCACTAGGCTGACCGGCACTGTACTTGAAGAATTTCACACGTTCATGCATTCGTTCATTCATTCATTCATTCAAGGCATAAGGATCAACCGATTCCAGTGATTGGTTGCTGTGTAACAACCACCCCCAAGCTAGAATGACTTAACATAAGTGTTTGTTGTTTCCCTCTGGTAGATGGTTTTCTTTTTTTTTTTTTTTTGTTTTTTTGTTTTTTTTTTTTGTTTTTCGAGACAGGGTAGATGGTTTTCTAAGCAACTCTGCTGGTCTCACTAGAGTGTCTCATGCTGCTGTATTCCCCTGCTGAAGACAGGTTGGCTGAGGGCTGCCCATGGCTGGGTTCTCTCTATGTCTTTGTTCCGGCACTCTTCTGATGATCGTGCAGCACACTGCAAAAGAAGGTATGGGCCAGGCCTCCTGTGCCCAGTCTCACACCCTGCCACTCTGTTAGTCAGGATAGTCATGAGGGTAGCCCTGGCTCAGGGGCATGGAGAAACAGTCTGCTTCCTGCTGACAGGAGCTTCAAGGTCACATTGGAATCAGTGGAATTTCCAGTCTTGCAATGTTCCACCTGGCTCTGGACCAGACCTCCATGGACAGAGCCCAGCAAACTGACAAACACAAGAGGTCCGTCCGCAAATGCTGTTAGAAACTTCAGCTAGGGAGACACAGATAACAGGGATGTTTGAGCTGAGCATTTGAACATGTTGGCGTGGGACAGTCCCAAAATTACCACGAGGGATAACTGTCTGCTTGTGAGCTGAAGCGTCAGGACTGCCCTGTGGGGAGGCAGGGGATGGGGCATCAGTACCATCAGACATCAGCACCGCTGAGCCGCCCTGGGGTCAGGGCCTCGGTCTTCCACTCATGTACAGGCCGTGCCACACTGGCCACCTGAGTCAGTTTCTTCTCCTGTCAAATGCCTCAAAGGCCCCTATCTTGCCCTCCATACTGTGAGAACTTGAGGGTGATGAAAACTGACCAGGAAGAAGGGGGGAGTCCTTCTTGGCAGCACCGCCATAGACGGGCACTTAGAAAGCAGATGTTCAGGTGTGGTGGCAATACTCCTACAATCCCAGCTGAGGAGGGGACATTGAGTTCATGGTCAAGGCCAGCCTGGGATACATAGTGAGACATGTATCCAAACAAACAAACAAACAAACAAAACCAAGCCAGCAAGTAAACAGACACTCCATCACCAAGGTGACTGTGGCGCTGTATGCCCATCACCCCAGCACCTGCAGCGACAGAAGGGTTACTGTAGACTCAAGGCCAGCCTGGTCTCTGTAATGAGTTTCAGGCTAGTCAAGGCTACAAAGTAAGACCCTATGTAAAAAACAAAAACAAAACAAACAAAAACCAAGCTGAAGCCCCCCGATTACCCAGCCAGGAGCTGTCTCCCTTGTGGCAACAGGACCGTGTGGATGTGGTAAGGCTGGTCCAGGACTGGTGTGACTTGTTGACAGGGATGCAAATCCTGAAGGGTTGGGACACTATGAATATACCTTCTGACCTTCCCTCTCCTCCCCTCCCTTCTCCTCTCCTCCCCTCTTCTCTTCCCCTC